GAATTTATAGATTGTTGTAGACATCATTTGTAATTAACATTGTGTTATAATTATGACGAGCAAAATTGTCATTGCTCGATATTTTAATTGCAATTGATAGGACCTTGACGTTCAATGGCAATTTGTGGATTGTTGTGTCATAGAAATTTCTAATTATTATTGCGTCATAATAATTACGGCGTGTAAAATTGTTAAATTACAATTTGTATTGGACTTTGACGTTCAAAGGCAATTTTCGAGTTGTTTGTCGCAGAAATTGGTAATTTATTTTGTGTTATAATTATGACACTCGTGTAAAACTATCATCACTCGATATTTTAATTACAGTTCGACGTTCAGAGGGAATTGATTGATCGTAGAAATTTCTAATTAATTTGGTATTACAATTACGACCTCTGAAATTGTCACTAGTCGATATTTTAATTAGGTGTTTTTGCAGTTCATAGGACTTTGACGTTCAAAAAGAATTTATTGAGCTATTTCCGCAGAAATTTCTAATTAATTTTATGTTACAATTATGACGTGTAAAAGCTGTCAGCACTCGATATTTTAATTACAGTTCACAGAAAGGGGAAGTTACGTGTTATTGTCGTGGAAATTTCTAATTAATTTTATGTCATAATTACGACCTGTAAAATTTTCATTGCTTTCAATACTTTTGATTACAGTTGATAGAAGCTGCTACGAGCTTCTACGAACATCCACAGTTTAAGATCATAACCTGTATAAGATTGTAAAACCTATATTCACATTATTTACGTATGTATATTGATTCGTTTCGTTCACGAGTCTCAGTATTTCCGGCTATCCCCACTGGAATATTAAAGATCATTTCGAACACGAGGTTCAATATCGTCATAATGTTGCTCACCGAAATGGTTGTCGAATTATTCACCGTGAGTCGGAGGCATTCTACCGCGGTGTAATGCAGAATACGAAGGTTGTTTGCGAATCGCTCGCGATTCTGCATAGTATCGAACGCCTCTATTGTACGATGTGCCGTGCACACGAGCACAGTGTGTACACGAATCACGTCTATTTATATTCTAAAGAGTACAATCTTGATACCGTGCCCGAGTGTCAACGGTTACGTCTCTTAAAACGCCGACGGTTGCGAGGGAAATTCTATTGACAGTTCTCGTCGCATGAACTTGGAGCTTGATTAAACAAGCTCGCGAGCTTCTTATTAAATTATAAACTGGCTCGATGAGCCTCTTAGATATCCTCGGCATCTAAGCGGCAACAGCTTTTAAAGGAAGCGTAAATTTATTTCGAAGAAGCGCGAATTAACCATCGTATCGTATAATCAAGATAATAGCGAGATATGTGTGAATATGTAGATAAGGGTGTGCTGCTTAGGTATACTTAGTTATGGTAAATGGTTAATGCCACAACTCTGGCAATTCTTCATTTTCAAATGATGCTCGGGGTAAATATCGCGTTCTCGATGGCCTTCCATTAACTTTGGATGACGAACCAGACAACTTTTTATGGCCATCGAACGATCTTCAGAAACAGTATCATAAATCTTCTCGAACTTCTGTGACTTCTGGCTAATGCTTGAGCACCGGTTACGTAATCTCGACGATCGTCAAACCCTCGAATGACTTGCAGACTATCTTGATGTCTTCTTAATGACGTTTTATCATCCGCGAAATTACCGTGTAAGTGCACAAATTCTTTCTTCCCCCCGATAGCTTTTTTTTTCCATTTTTCAAGCCACCAAGCTTGCGGTTGCCACGATGATTTCGATTCGAAAGGAAAGACAGATTGAATTTAGTTTAAATTAAAGATTGATAAATACAAATTATACGCAATAAAAATTAAGATTCCATATCAATGAGAAACTCGGGAATAGAGTCAATAAATTTTATTATCGATAATAAAATCCTGAAGATTGAAAAATTAAATTTTTTTCTATACTGACAATAAGTGATTTAATAAAATGTGAGAGAACAGTTGTGCAATATTCAATTAAATGAATCAAACGAATAATCCGAAAGTGAAAGGAGCAATTCTGCAAAAACGAAGAATAAATTTTTACATACGCTTTACATATGTTTGAAATTCTGGAGTCTGTTTTTGGCCGATAGGACTGGACGCTCGTGATAATTTTTGATTCTGGAAGCAGAGAGAAATGAAAGTGTAAGATGAAATATCACGCAGAAAGCATGTGGTCCGTTTTACTTACCCTCGCTGTGGAAAGTTTCCATAGCAACGTGCTCCTCCTTAGACACATTTTCAATAGAAGAAAGCAACACGTGGTGGAAGAAATTTCACTTTCCTTCCATTTACGTTACAGAAAAAAAATAACAAAATTTATCAGCCGTAGATGCTCGAAGAACAGACAATAATACATGGTAAATAATAAATGCCCGCAAGAAACACTCGGGAGAAATATTTCTTTTTACATTAAAAATACAATATGAAAGAAGAAACACATTGTTATCGAATAATTTTTATTTCCTCTGCCTTTACTTGTGATCATAGAAATTGCGTACTTTTAAATAAAGAACAAATTTTTAGGTGTAGAAATACAAAATGTATAAATAACTCAGGTTCGGTGAATGTATACGTGTGGTTTTAATTTAGTATACACAAAAGGTGTAACATGGCCACAAAATATTACAAAAAAATTTCATCGTTCTCGGTAAAAAGCGTAGGATGTACAATATAAAATTTCAGGTTCAACAGATGTGAGTTTAAATCAGAAACATTGATGATACTGTACTAGTTATTATTTTTACACTAAAAAAATTACATTGCGCTGCTTTAAATAACGTAGCCTCGGCAAATATAAAATAAACACAGTAATTTGGGTTAGATAAACGTAACTTCAATTCAGAAATATCAATACTGTATTTTAACGTGAAATCTATCGTTTTCACGTTTAAAAAAAAGATGTAATACAACTAAAAGAGAATGTTTCGAACGTTCTGTACAAAGTTTCTGACCAGTCGTTCAAGGACAAAGTTAAGCAGTTGCTATCAAGATATGATTTTTACAGAAAAACGTGAAAGAAAATTCTTTGTAACCGGCTGAAATATTTATAAAATGCAGCCGCCTCATTATCGCCACTGAAAACTTAAAAAGGACTTACCGCTGAGGTGAACAAAATTAACAATTGTTCGATATACGAATGTAACATTTGTTCGATATACGCAAAAATTAAATATATATACACATTCTTCATACCGTAAAAAAAGAATAAACGAAACTTAAGGACTAAATTCTTATTAAGCAACATTAACGGAACATGTTGATTTTGTCAACAATACCTTATCAGACTCAACATAAGCATCGGTACCATGAATTGTGTTTTCATCATCGTTGCAGATCAACGATGATCCAATGATTATCTCATATCGCGTGTATAACGAACGTATTTTTTTTCCTCTTATATACAAATACAAACATACATAAATTTCATTCAATTTTCAACTACACTGATTGCGAGCCTCGCGAGTGTAAAACCATCTAAAAATTTCCAAGTTTTTATGCCGTATTCCTTAGCTGAAATTTCTTCATAATTTCTTTCAACGCAGACGTTAGGAAACTAAACGTTTCAGAATATTTCACTATGGTAAACAAGACTTTTCTTATTTAAGAAAGAACCCCCTATTTATTTTCATTCCTCCAGCAATCCCAATGTAATTCATCTAGTAGAATTTACAGAATTAATCATTTATTAATTTTCAATTTAATGTTTACTAATTTTAAGTTATTAATTTGTATTTTTTACTAATTCATTTAATCCCAATATAATTCGTTTAGTAGAATTTACAGAATTAATCATTTATTAATTTTCAATTTAATTTTTACTAATTTTAAGTTATTAATTTGTATTTTTTACTAATTCATTCAATCCCAGTATAATTCATTTAGTAGAATTTACAAAATTAATCATTTATTAATTTTCAATTTAATTTTTACTAATTTTAAGTTATTAATTTGTAATTGTTACTAATTCATTTTCTCCCAATACAATTCATTTAGTAGAATTTGCAGAACTAATCGCTTATTAATTTTTACTAATTTTACGTTATTAATAATTGTTGCTAACTCATTTAATCCCAATATAATTCGTTTAGTAGAACCTACAGAATTAATCACTTATTTCTAGTAGAATCGTACAGTCTGATTCTAGTGTTAAATGAAATTCCATTTTATAAAACTACGTCTCGTCTCGTGCCTCTGTCCTCTCCAATCTGCCACCATAATGCAACGATCGAAAATTTTAGAGTGGTTCTACATTCACGGAACACAGCGTGCAATTAACGATCAGAATCGATGCAGGAAGAACAGAACATGGCAGTGAACGACTGAAAAAAAAAAAAGGAAAATACAAACGACTGTCGATCGCGACGATTAACCTCCTGTACTTAAATGCAACGCGCTTAAAACAGTCGAGAGAGAAAGAGAGAGAGAAAGAGAGAAAGTACAACGGACACAGTGATTATATCTACTCGGTTGCTGGCAATTGGACGAGATTCATAACCCCTGATACCGTCTGTGCGTGTGTCTGTATACGTGCGCGTATGTGTATGAGAAACGTTGGACCTGGGTTGCCTACAGGTGGTCCCAGGCAGATCAATATTGTTCGCCTGTGTCCGTGAATACACGTGAGTAGCTTGGATACACCCTTGCAACACGCAACCCCTAAACCTACCCGGTGATCACGATATTGCACGCTTTAAGCACCATCTACGCATCCCTGAGTTCGCCATTTGTATCTTACGAATTTTCGCGTAATTAGAAAATTTCAACGCGTTGCTCATTGAAGATTGCTTGGAGACAGCTAGCGTTGGCAGAAACTGGGGAGGGAAATATATTTACGTACAATTTGTGCGATTTTTTTGGTTGGAGTTTCGAGTGATTTCGCGTCGTTGGATCTTGTTTCTTTCCTCCATGGATTTTTATGTTTTAAATCCGTGCTATTTTGGAAGTAGAAGGGAGAAACGTATATTCGACGTAGCTGGTCACGGAATATTTGATTGACAAGTTAATTCAGATCCATGAAATGTCCAGAAGCTTCCTTCATCTTTTTTTTTTTTTGAAACGTTCAAAATTCGACAGAAGCATTTCCGCGAAAAGAATTACGGCTGTAGTCGAATAACTTGCGAAGATTCTTCTGTGTGTTTGTAGAAAGAAAAAGATATTTACAGATCACTGTGTTCATGTTATGGATAAAACACGAACTTATAATTAACTTTATAGACCTAGTTTTTTACTCTTAATTGACGATGCTTTAATGACTTTTTTCTATATGTATAAAAATAGAAAAAACAGAAAAATATATCTGTAGCTATACACATTTACGAGGTATGTTTGCATTGTTCCGAATAAAGCGTGAACTTGTTGCTGTTTTAAAGCGACGATATTTTAGTATTTGTTACAAAACAGAATTTTCAATTACACTGCATGAAACATTATGGTCCCAAGATGAATCCAAGGCAAAAGTAAGAAAATTAAATGAGCTTCCGTGACACGACGATTCTTTCGAAAAAATGAAAAACTGACGGATGCGACGAGTTAAAACATTAAATCAGAATTAATCTAACGGGAACTACGACCGACATTTTATGACTGTCACGTATCAAAATTAAATGCTACCGTACATATAAGTATACACATATAAGTATCATCGAAAACAGGTATCTCCAACGAATTTACTCGAAAAAAAAAAAAAAGAATAATACTCAGAAACTAATACTAATCGTGAAACCTTATCACCTGCACCAAAAATCCATCACAAACATTTTGCCTAGCCTAGTTCACGCTCGAACCATGCTGCTGCAACGAGCAGTCCTGTCGTAAAGAAACAAACGCACTCTTTCTTACGAACGAGCTCCCCTCGAATTGCAATGTACAACTAAACAGAAAAAAAAAAAAAAAAAAAGAGAAAGCAATGTACACAAGCTCTTTCTTACTAAATTATACGTACAGTGAACTATTCGAACGATCTGGCACAGATGACCGGCGGTTAAATTCATGGAAACGATCGGAAGCGGGTCTCACGACCGGCGTGAAATTACTATAGAAGTGACAGAGCCGTCGTTCGACGTCACGTTCACACGTTCACACGTTCACACGTCGGATGTGCTATCAGACGACTCCCAACCAGTCTCTTCATTGACCAGGTACTCCGGATAACCGAGCGTGAGAACGTCCTGTCGCGACAATTCTTGCAGGTATGGATAGAGCGATATCAGTTTATACTGACTGATACACTCGACCACCCACTCGTGGACGACCGCTATGGCACGAGCCTGTTTGTACCATTCTACGAGAAAGGAAAGAAAGAGAAACAAAATAAAAAGAAATAAATTATTTTAATTGCGATCGTGTTTTTTTTTTTTTTGCGCGCGCGAGCGAATATAGCGGAGAAAGTTTTGTGACGAAGGATAGTTTCAGACGTGCTGGTTATATATGGTGCATGTTCACTGCTTGGACGTTTTAGACAATAGTTTCTGCTGTCGATTCTCTCAATTCGAATTTATTTCCGCGAATAAAATGAAGATTAAGAGAGAATTTTGATTATATATTATATTATATACTATATATTTTATATATTATTATATATTATATCATTATATATTATATACGTTAAATATTATACCAGATTAGAGAGAATCGTTGAAATGAAAAGATATTATAAATTGAAATGAATCTGACTCTGTGATTTGTTATCCTTCCTTTGTTACAATTCAAAATATGCACAAACTATTGATACTTAAGAGAGCAGACACACACGATATAAATATCTCGATCGAATTTTACAAGACAAAAATCATTAAGTTTGATTTATCAATGTTTCGTAACAATCGCGATAATTACTGAGATATAATTCTCAATCTTACGTGCATCTTAAGATTGCACCTAGGAAGAGGGAAATTGTCACCTTGAAGCACTTTGAAATTACTTCTTCCTTATATTAACTGAACGAAACGAATTTAACATGAAACTCAAAATCGAATAACGAGCTTACCGATAATTTGGAATTCGTAAATGTCCTCCTGGATCAAGATGATCTTCAGCCTGGTCGTTTGATCGGCCAGAGCGTACAACGAGTCGACCACAATGGCACCGGTGGCGCGTAGTAAGTCCTGAAAGAGGCGATATCTCTAAAACTTGGCGAGCATTCAACTTGAAGTAGTGTAGCAAGATTGGATGGCAGAGGAAATGTAAATAAAAGCCTTTCTTGGATTGGGATCCCGACAAGGAAACTGTTCTATCAGTACTAACACGCGAAACCTATAAAATTTATACGCATGATTTAGAGGGGCCATCCTCGTGTAATAACGCTCGAATTCGAGAGGCCACTTTGCCTCTTCATTTTCTTTATTTTCTGCTGTTTCCTTGGTAATTTGAATTTGGAGAACTTGTGAGATTCTGTGTTATATACGGAACTGTTCACGTTATTTGTGGGCACATTACTGTTTCATATGAAACATTTTTATCATTGTCGCTATAATAAGGCTCAAATATTTTCCTACGTCACTGCATTTAAATTAACTCAAAGAAAGAACGGAAGAATATTGAAACACATAAAATTATAGATTTTAGAATATTTATAAATATAAATAATATTATAATTATAATATGTTATAATATATTATAATTATAATTATAATATTATTTATATTAATATTCTAAAATCTATAATTTTATGTGTTTAATATGTTATAATATAATATTATAATTATAATTATATTATTTATATTTATATAAATAATATAAAATCTATAACAATATATAATTATAATATTATAATATTATTTATATAAATAATATTCTAAAATCTATAATAATATATAATTATAATTATAATGATAATAAATTAAATTTAGAATATTAAATAAATATTTTATAATTATAAAATTATAGAATATTTTCATAAAATTTAGAGATCAACTTTCGCTGGAAACATTCTTTTCAAACAGTGATAATAAATAACTGAACAGAAAAAAAAAAAAAGAAATACAGGTACAACAGGTTACAAGGAGGATCAACTGGCAAAACCATTGTGCTCACCTGATACTCCTCCACAGAAAGATGAGCGTACGGACCGATACAGAGGAACACGAACCCCTCGAACAAATTCTTTTCCCTTAACCGGGACTTTCGAGGGCCTGCCTCCAAAGTTATGCAATCCACCACCTCGTACAATTCCTCGTTCACGGCTCTCCTCTCTTTCAGCGAGTCTAGCACCCACTGACAGCTCACGATCCACTTCCTGTGAGCTATACCCTGCAGGTATTTCAACGTCTTGCTCGCCCCGTTATTATTGTTAGTCTTCACGACCACGTGCGTTACGTTCTCGTTGAACTGAGTCTGGTAGGTAGCGTCCGGCAACGTTTTCGCTAATTTCTTCAATTGATTGACCTCGACGAGAGTCAGGCCGCTGCTCAGGAAACAGTACCTCTGTCTGCTGGTGCTTGGTGCAGTTTGAACGCTTTGAACAGCGTTTCTCTTAACGATCTCATTCGTACTGCTGTTCTGAACGTTGGTGTACTTCCTCGGTTCCTTGTTCGATAACTGGCTCGTACGAGAGACGAACTTCATGGGGTTAGAGTGGCACGTCTTAGGAGTGCTCTGGTAGAGTGGTGGAATGTTGGTCTTGGAACCCGGAGTGCTGAGGCTGCTGGAACTCTTTCCTCCATTCCTCGAGCACGGTGTCTCCACAGCTGGTGGCAACTGTTTCCCCAGGATCTTCGAGTTCGAGCTCCTCTGCGAGCCGATCGTTTCCAAACTAGAGAAAACGATATTATTTCTTTCCGTGAAATTGCTCGGTTTGACGCTGTTTGAAATGACGTTCTTTGATACGGTGGATATCGGAATGGTTACGGGATCGTAGTACAGTTTTATGCGAAAGTAATCTTTCATTGACGACACGTTGTTTCTCTGTTTTTTTTTTTTTTTTTTTTTGAACGAGATGTGTTAAACTAAATAGAATTGAAAAAAACTGTTCTCATAACTTTGGTGATAATTACGCTTTTAATTTCACGTGAAAGTTTATTCTATCCGAGAAGCTCGCAAACAAACACTCGTGTAATATTATCGTAGATTGTCGTAATCGTAAATGTGTGCACGATACTTTATTATCCATTTCAATTTTGACGGAACAAAGAATCGGATGAAATTTCATTAATTTCGTTGCATTAAGAGAGTATTCTGGAGTAATCCGGCTTATAAAAATCGACTTTTTGGGGATTTTTTCCCCAAGGAAACCATGATACGTTTTGATATGCAGTTTTTGCACACAGGTTTATTCATACCTAAAGAGTAATTACAATTTTTTTTTTAACGAAATTAATGAATGTTATGGAAATTATATAACCTTAGGTAAACCATGGTTTTAAAAACGGGTTCGAATGGCTGACGTGATTACGGTCCATCTGCCTATTTAAAACGAAAAAAACCAAAAATCATCGTAATTGTGTAAATATGGCTATAGCATGAATCACTGAAACAGCGAAATTTCGAAAATTAAAAAAATAGTAGCATTTTGAAGTTTAAATATCTCGATTTTCCTTGTGCTTTTGGGTGGTAAACAAAAATAGAAAAAAACATCAGATTTTGAAATTCGTGGTTCATGCGACAAAGGTACATCCGGTGAAAGATCTCCTCCAAATTTCAAGTCAATCGGTCAACTACACAAGCGTGAGATATCCCGTCAGCCAGTTTAAAAAATATGGATTTGAGAAAAACACGTTTGAAGTTTCTGTTACCCGTTGTACAAAAATATTCATACTTACGAACAATCGAGCAGTACAAAAAATAGAATATTATAAAATAATAATAATATAAAAATATTATAAAATATTATAAATATATTATTTATTTAAAATATAAAATATATTATTAATATTATATATTTTTATATTATATAATAATAATACAATATATTATTATATTATTAAAATATAAAATATATTATTAATAATATAAAAATATTATAAAATATAAATATATTATTTATTTTTATATTTTTATATTTTATATTTATTTTTATATTTTTTGTAATAAATAATAATATTATGAAATGAAATATTTTTTGAGAAAAACACATTTGAAATTTTTGTTACCCGTTGTACAAAAATATTCATACTTACGTTGCGAACACCGTTTCCTTTAAACCTTCTATAACTTTGCCAATTTTACAAATTCAAACAAATCCTTTTGGACATTTTCGAAAGCATATACTTTGAGGAAATGTAAAAAAAAAAAAAAAAAATTGATTTTTTTAAGCCGGATTACCAGAATATCCCTCTTAACAGAGAGAGAAATTGGATTGTCCCGATTGTAATATTTGTCAGGGAACGCGGTGTTCGGACAGTGTAATTAAAATTATACCACGGACAGTGTAATTAAAATAATACCACGTGCATTTTAATAAAGAACTGGGTAAAATTGGATTGCTTCGATGGGGATATTCGGACGGTGTAATTAAAATTACGTAATCAACGCGTAAATTCGTTAATGAAATGTATATAACGTTTTCTTTTCAACAATTGAGAAGAAGAACGGACGAGTTACGAGAGACTCGCGTGTTACTTACTTTTTCGTCTTTGTGCTAGGAGTGTTCTCGACAATGTCGTCTTCTTCAGCCGAGTGTTCGACGTCCTGGATATTTCAAAGCAGAGTGAGTCTTTGACAATGCTTTCGGATCTCGTTTATCTCGTAAGTTGGCGTACGAGGTACGATAAAAAGTCATCAGTCACGCCCGTGAATCACACACACAACGATCGTTTCGAATCGTTTGGAACGTTCAGATTATTCAGGCGAGCGACGAGTTCAAACACAACGAGACGCCGAGTTATTATTCAAAGCGAGGATACACGATATAATTAAGCGTGGGGATGATTGAAAAGAAGTCGAAAGAGTTGTTAGAGCTTTGCAAGGGGAGGGGAAATTAGTAAACGGAGGCGTTGTTGCGTTGTTGACACGAAAGAGGAGCTTCATAACCCTCCGTATGGTTTCTATAGCTAGCTTTCATCAGACTTCCCTGCAGCGAGTTTACGAGTCTAGAGCAGGCTTTTCAATTTCTTTCTTTCTTTTTTTCTTTTTTTTTTTTTTTTTCACAGAGAGATCCTCTCTCATCAGCAGTGATCTCTTATATTTGACGTTTATACAAGATGTTCAACGGTCTGCAAATTGCTCTGCCACCTTTTCAAACTCCAAGGAGTTTGTGCACGTACAGGCGAATTTATCTTTTATACACGGGAGGGAGATTTTCAAAAGACAGTATCGAGTCACCAGATGTCTGACTGATGTGTGTGTATTCTTCCATTTTGTCTGTTAAATTTCTCTCTAAAAGAAATTATCAAACTTAATGGAAACTTTGACGCGCAGTTAATATTCTAGAAATAAAACTAAGAACAAAGAAATATATGTATATAACAATAAAATCATGCTCTGGCGCTACTAAACGATTAGAAATTAATATATTATATATATATAATGTTTCGAAAACACTTTTAACACCTCCGTTCACTGCACTTTCATCCAAAATATTACTAAATCATGAGTTTTCGACTCGCCCGTACCACCATAAGCCATCTACATTCATTCATAGCTCAACGTAAAGTCGAAATAAAGAATTCTGAGAAAGTTCTAGAACAAAAGGCTCTCATTGTCTACAAAAGATCAAAGAAACTAACCTTTGCAATTACGTTGGAACACTTCTTGCTACCCGTCGGCGTCTGCGGTCCTCTCCTCTCTTTCCCCGACGAGACGTTAGAACTCTCAGACTTGCCAAACAGATCCTCCTCAAATTGTTTGATCATCAAATACTGCTGCGTGATGTTCATCAAAGAGTCCTGATCGTACGTATCCTTAACTATGGAATTACTCAGATTTCCATTCACGGGAAGCTTCTTATCACCGGACGAAGTCGTTGGATGCGATTGGAACCGCTCCGACGGCTTAGTCGAAATCCAGTCGTTCGACTTCGTTTCCTCCGGCCGTTTGTTGTTCCTCGAGCCCTCGTTAGCCGAATTTACATACACTTCGACTGGAGTTTCTCCGTTCTCGTCGTCACTTCCGTACACGATGTCAGATGTTTTGCTCTTGTTCTCCTTCTCCGACCCGTTGGAACTCACGTGAATGACACGCTCGCTCGACGAACGAGGATTTTTCGACTGTCTCTCAGAGAGACTCTCTCTTCTACTCCTTTCGTTGTTGCACTCGTTAACGAGCGTGTCAGTGTTCACGTTCGCAATGACATCGTCGAAATTATCCTCCTGCATGAGATCCGGTATGTTCTGCCGGAAGTTCTGCAGAACTTTCACTTCGTCGATCGTCGCGCCAAAGTCAGGCGAGTTCTCGGTAACCAGCGCTTCCCTAACTTCCAAGCTCTTCTTCCTATCGGTCCTCCTACAGCCGAACGATCTCTCTCTGTTGTTACATTCGTCAACGAAATCTGAACGCTGTCCGCGCTGTAGCGTTGTGGAGAGTTTGCTAGCGGATTTGTCACGGTACGACGAGACAGATCTCGCCAAGACATTGTCCACCGACGAATCGGAGGAGTCGCGAGTCTGTTCGAGCTTGCCCTTCTTTCTATACCTGTCGTCGAGCTCCGTCCAACTGTTCACGATCGCAAATACGTCCTCGGTGACGGAATCGGGGGAAGCAGCTCGTTTCCGCTTCGTTGACGCAGTATCACTCGCGAGACTCTTGCCAGTAGCCTTTCTCGCGCAGCCGGTGTTCACCGAATCACCGTCCGAGCTTTCTAACAATAGAATTCGTTTGTACACCTTCTTCTCAGTTTTCCTCTCGCTGGGCGCGATATCCGGGTCAGAGCTCAGTGACACCACGTCGATGTCCTTGGTACTGGGATTGGACAACTCGGACAACTTCTCGCTTAAGCTGGCTTTCCTCGCGAGTGGCGGCGCGTCCTCTCTGTTGCAGTTCCTGATGTACGTGGCTTGCGACGAGAAACTGTGACCGGGACTATGATTGTCCTGTTCGTCGTCGTCGCTCGACTTCATTCTGTCGCACAACTTCTCCCCACTGTTCGATCTCTTCCTTTTTCTTCTTGACACGTAAGAGCAACCAGACGTGTCGGACGTGCGTGAGAAATCTCGAGAGAGAAACGGTCTGCTTTCCTTTTCGCTCGGTTCACCGGGCTCGTGGATTATTTTCTGGGTTCGCAGGTTGTCGATCGACGGATATTCTAACGAGAGGGATTGTAGCATGGTGACATCCTGGTCTCTTACCGGTGACATTACCTTCACGGTATCTTTGGTCGGTGTGTTGTTTGATTTAGCAGGCTGCTCGACACCTGGTGAATCCAATACTCTGTTTTCACTCAGAGATACGAAGAGTATGTCTACATCTTCAGAGTTATTGCTAACAGGCTCTTCGACTGGAACGATTTCCGCAACTTCTCCGGATGAATTCTCTTCGCGAACATCTATTTGATTATTGAAGACTCCCGCTGGATCTTTCATCTTCGATGAACTGTTTGCTTCCGCGATAGACTCTGGTTCCTTCTTGTCTTCATCCATTGGCTGTGTATCCATCGGTTGCGTATCGTTCAGCGTGACCCGATCGTTGTCTCCCAAGTAACTCTTGATCGCAAAATCCTGTGTGTCCAATATATCAATCGGATTGCAAGGCTTTTGCAGATGAAAGCCAGGGTAACGACCTAGCATCCCTTTTCGCCTGGTTGTGCCCAGGTACAAAAAGGGGACTTGTTTTCTGTAATGCCTGAAAGTTCTTCCTAGCTTCGTGAACGTAACCAAAGACGTGTTGCACGTATTCTTTAGCCTTTTTCTGGTAAGCTCGTTCGAGACGAAGACATCGTCTCGTCTACCTCTCGATTTATCACCTGCAAGACTTCTATGTTTCTCCTTGTCAATTACTCCCGCTGAACTCCTCTTATCTACATCGTCTTCAATTTCGATCTGACGATTGAAGTCTCGCGTGACAGATTGCAAAGCGATACTCGAACTAACGCTCCACCTGGATGAATCCAATTTGAAGTCGGCGCTTCTTCTATTTAAGGACAATCTCTTACGACGGGGCGTGGACGTTTGGCAGTCCGTTGCAGAAGAACTAGAGACATCCATCGTCTCTATCGTCGTCGTCGGACAGCAATTTTTCTTGTTACTCGGCTTGACGACCAGATTCGGCTCAGTTTGGTCGCTAGGTGATACAGGCACTATCATTTGGGAAAATATTTTATCTCGATCGCGGAACGGCATGTCGAACGGATCAACCCGTCCGTCCGCAGGAAACGCCATTTCCTCGCGATTACTCGATTCGTTCGTTTCGACGTTGGCTCGCGTTGGTTCCTGTTCCTCCTCCGTTACACCAATGATCGCATTTATCTGACAGCTCTTCAAACTCTGAACGGGCACCCTGCCATCCTGCAGCGTGATAACGAATGATTCATCGGCCAACGGAACTTCTTCAGATATCGATCTCTCCTTTCTGTCCTGCGGGGACGCCTCTCCACCGCGGACAAAGTCCCTTTTTGTCAAACTTTTCTTACCATTGACAAATTCCTCGTTCATGGCGGTCTCTGCAACGTTCTCGGCCACCTTCGACTCGTTTCCTCTTCTCCTTTGTCTTTCGTCTGCATCCTCGACGACTTTCCACCTGACATTCTCGTCTGCGTTCAAATTCATCTCCACCGGCCGAGATTTCTTCTTGCTCTCGATGCTCACGTTCAGAGACATCAATTTCTTCTTTCTCCTGCGCATCTCTTTGCCAAATTTCGCCACGGTCGACCAATTCTTCTGCATGTTGGACAACATCTCGCAGGTAGACGTTCGGTGAACGTCCATGAATCTCTCCTCGTTCCTCTCCTTGCTGTCGTCCGACGATCTCGTCGCTGTCGACGTACCTGGCCTCGGATTTTCCAGGCTGAAGTTCATCCTCGACGAGTGATTCTTCGTGGAATTCCTCGTCTCCGCAGACCACCTGCGACCTCTCCTGGCAGTCGGTTCTCTCTCGTTGCTCGTATTCCTCGAACAGGGTGTTTGATGAACGTCGTTCCTCGTTATCGAGTTAACCGCGACTTCCATATCTTCGCCCTCGTTCCGCTCGTTCCGCTCGTTGTTTTGAGAGACCGAGATGGTCAGAGTGTCGTCCAGATTGCACTCTGTAGGCTGCTCGACTTCAACTTTCTCGGCTTTGTCCAGCTCGTCGTTCTTCGCCAGATTGCCCAGCCAGTTGTGCACCTTGGCCTCTGCCGATTCCGTGTACAAAAAATCCTTCGACTCTTCCAAATGCCTTATGTCGGACAGGTCACACTTGGACAGATACTTCTTGATAGTGTTGCCTCCTTTTCGCGTGGGTTTCGCCTTCTTTATCTGCGTTTCCTTCCCTCGCGATCGTTCTTTTCGACTTTGAACAGACTGATACTCTGGCAGAGTGTCAAGGTAGGAACAGCTCGGTCTCGCTCGGTCAGATCTACGCAATTCGGTGTTATCTGACAGCTCGTACTCTCGTGTATTCCGTGGCCTCGACGAATGCAACAGTGCTGAAAGAGATCTTGAATTTATCACGGCCAGCAGGACGCAGTTTATGAAAATCGGAAAATACGTGTGTATATTTAAAATCGTAAACGTTTAGAGCTTTATGATCTTATGATCTTATGTATCTAGTTCATCGTTTCGCGAACAAGAAGGATAATAATCTTTTATTAGAGCGCGGAGCATGCCGTTTCAAAGTTTTGCCAACATCTAGATTACAAGAAGATGGAATAATACAGAATTTTTATTAAACCGTGCAGCAACGTGCGTCGTTAATTTTTAATCGGAGTATTAAAATAACACGGACTAAAAGTTAAAAAAGAGTTTTAATCTTTTATTACGCTCCTATGTGGAACGATTAAATTTTGATCAAAGCAATTTTAATAAAGAAGATGTTCCAAGGTCTTTGTTAAGGTCCGCCGGAGATATTCTTCATCTGTATTACGAATCATTTATGCTTGTTGGAAGTGAATGCAGAATACTTGGAATTTTTGTCCAAGTCTTAGACATGCGAATGAATTATTCTGAACTATTAATAAATCTTAAAAGGAAATAATGGTCATAGAATTAAGTTTCATAATTAATTTTCCAATGTTTTAGGAATATAAAAATGTTAATAAAAATGATTTTAATTCATTATCAGACGTTTTTTCTCGAAATTAATTTATGATCTCTTTAAAGAAGAGAATTGGAATTTTAAGAATCGCGACAAGTCAATTAATACATTTGAAATTTGTATATCTGTCATAATCGCTTACAAATATATATAAGTGTAGAATAAATTGTTACGAATACCGGAAATGACGCGCTCACACATAAATGATAGTTTTATATATTCCTGATTACAACCTACTAATTATAGCCTATATATAATTTGTATCTTTCGATCTTCATTTCTCATTTATTTTATTCTTATTTTATTATTTTATTCTTAACTCAACTCGAACAACACCAAAAAATTTAAAAAATATCTTTGCAAATAAAGTGGTAATATGCGTAGGAGTCACGTTCCTTGTACAAAGTCATCGAATCGGCGAGAACTATCAAAAATTTTAAACAATTTCATTACAGTGATTGAATTAAAACTGAGAAATTCGAACTGCTTCATCACTCAGAAACAAGTCATTCCAAATATTTAAAATTCCAAATTTTCGTGAGAAGTATCATTTTCAATTCATTTGCAAAGTCGGAAGAGGTTACACGAATATCGTATTAATTAAACAAGTCACGTATTCAAAATGTAGTTGACACGTGTCGCCTCGGAATTTCTTTTCAGTCCACTCGTAGTGAGTTTCAGGGGGATTTGTTTGACAGAAACTCGAGCTTCCTGCATAGTATGTGTATATGTTTGAGAGAATTCAACCACGAGAATGCATTTGGGAAAAGTCAAGAGTTGAGAGCGTGCCATGACAAAGAACGTAGAAAATTGACCTATGATCTGTGCCTCGCGAAACAGTAGATCTCGAGCTGTTCTATTTACTATTAAATATGCACAGAACGTTAGAAAATTGACCTATGATCTGTGCCTCGTGAAACAATAGATCTCGAACTGTTCTATTTACTATTAAATATGTACAGCTGTCCAATTAAAATTACTCGAATAACAACGAACTATGCAGGCTTTATTAAAATCAAGATTTTAGTCGTGATTCATTAAAATTTTATGCTTTATTCGTTTCGATAAAAATCGCATCGTTATCACGACAGCGATCTAAAGAACATGTTTGTACCTTTCAAAAGTATTGGGAAACTTATTTTTTCAGTTATTTACAGAAATTAATTATTATCATTTTCTGTATGTTATTAATTATTAATAATAAAAACGAATAATTAATAATTAAAGTTAGGACCAATTTTACCAAAAGCAAATACATTTGTCATTCAAATAAAATGCTGTGTGTATGCTATATCAAACGTGGGAAAAATAAACTGAAAAATTTTTCATATGTCACAGTCTCTAACGTATGGAGAATCAAGCAGTAATTGTAACAGTTGTGGTGGAACATAGGAAAATTACTCATCACCACAAAGAAAATCCATCATCTTACGAATTATGGAGCAGGACATTAACCCTGCTGCACTCTTCGAAAATTCATGTTTCAACCTCATTCTTGTTTCAGCAAATAAAAAAGACATTTAATATTTCAATGTTAAAATTGCATAAAATTGAAACGAAGAATTGCAAACATATATCTATAACAATTTAAACAATTTTTTTTGACGACGAAAAAATACAATCAAGTGTAGAGGAAAGGTAATATATATATATATGTGTGTGTACTTTTATCTTTTACGCGACACGTAGAAGTCGATTAATGTTGTTAAAAATAATCAAAAAAATGAATAAATAAACGTTACTGTGCGCAAGAACGTTTCTCGCATTATTTGGGAAACTAATATTTTAGAATTACGTCAGATTCGAAGGAAGAACGGGAAACGATTTTCAATTGGTGAATAAAACATCTCTCTTCCACCCTTCCTTCCGTTCGTGTTCTACATAAACTATACGAGTAACAAAGCATTGTTAGAATCTAGAGGAAAAATAGCGAAAGACAAATATTTTGTGAATAAAATTTTTGAGGCAACGAAACTCCGTTTTTCTATGTTTGATCGTACGCCAGAGCGTAAACGCGGAGTGCTCGTAAAACATTGAAGTTTTGGATACCACCGCGTTGCATCAGTATATACCAAAGAACACTGAGACTTAAATTTTTGAAAACGCTCGGCTATATACATACACTGCAGTGGAAACGGATAGTTGACCCGGGCGAACATGATGTGGCACATGTACCAGCACATGTACTTTGTGCCTCATGTTTTTCTTAACGCTGCGGAAAAAAAAGTTTATCGCGGAGGAACGTTAGTTCCTTTTAAACGTATTGCCCCACGCTGAGAAATTTATCGCTTTCCCGATATTTCGCGAAACGATTCCCGTAAATATTCATAACAGGAAATTCTCTTATAATTAAACAACAGTGTAAATAAATAATTAAATAAATAAACAAGAATTGATTTTATATCGAAGGGATTGCTTTCGGGAATCTATATTGATTTGACGTTCTTTACTGTTTTAAAATCTTATTGTTAATATGAACTCTTTTCTTCATCGTCGCGTGTGAAATATCTTGAAAAAGAAGAAGATATTTCTAAGAAGGCACATTACACGAAAACAAATATCTTTTCTACAGATTTCATTTACATTTATGGCATAAGAGCTTTACATAATACACAGATATTTGTTTTATCATACTCTGTACGTGATAGTATAACAGATATTTATTTCACGCGTGTATAATGCACTGTTTGAATGGATCGAGGATATATATTACGCCATAAATAGCACTATAAATCCATGTAAGATACACCTTAACGTATGAGATCTGAATTTACTGCAACATATATATTACTAAATATATGGAATCAAAAATTTATGTAAAATTACAGCTTAGATTTTCGTATTTTCAGGAAAAATATACAAATGCATCATTTTCCTACAAAGATGCGTCATTTAATTAGTATTCTATGTATTTTTGTATACTGATCACGCTTCAAGCACACGTGCATATTTAAATACTAAACAGAGTAGATCATTCACTAAAAATATATTTACGTTCCTTCCAACATCAAGGATCAGAAATTAAATTGGACACTAAACATTTGCAGTAATTAATCAATTTTCTACGTCGGGGATTCTGATTGTTCTATACTTTATCACGATTAGAAATCAAGATATCAGATATAGATTTTGTGATATCGTTATCATCTTGATATCTCTGCCGATCTGAATTAACATATTAGTAAAAGGCAGCCAATTCAAGTTAAAGTTTGATTAATGTTAGGTTTGATAGGATTTTAATTCACTCGTCAGAAGTAAGATTTGATTAGGTGATTTAGATAATCTGACAAACATGAATTAAATTGATAAATTTGAATCCCTGGCTCAATGGATTTGTTTTTCATAGTTTTGCTTTCACTGTGTTCAGTATATATGACCGAACAATATCGATAATTCGAAAAGCACTTACTATCGATGCCTGAATCCAATTGAATCGCTTCGATCAGTTTCTGCAGTCGATCGATGTACAATATCATATGTTCGTCCTTAGAAATGCTGCGACGTTGTATAGCACAATTGCAGAGTGGACACAGTGCATTTTTATCTTGCACTACCGTTTGAATGCATGCACGACAGAATCGATGGCCGCACAGGGTTTTTATCGGGTCGGTTATGGTATGCAAACTGAAATAGAAATAGCACATGATATATTCGAAACAACGAGATAAAAAAAATAATAAATTAAATTGAAATTGAGTGAAAATGGTGTAAATCAAATTGAAATTAAATGCAAATATTTGAATTTACAACGTTATTTATTTTCAAACAATTTGTATCAAAATAAAATGTGCAATATTTATTGAAATAAAAATTAAAGGTGATGATAATAATAACTGACTTTGTGATTCATTGACATTGATTTAATCAATAATAATTGACAATGTGTTTTACTAAATTGATAGTTTTACTCATAATATTTGACATAGTATGAATAATGAAGAAGTATTTGCACATCATTGTGTTTATTCTGATATTAGTAGATAGCTAATTCATATAAAGTTGAAAGTGAAAAGAATGCACAAAGCAAAAAGAATATATTTTCTGAATGAACTATAATTGTCTCATTAAATATATGTGACATCATTTCCATTTATTTCAATTACTAATTAATCTTTCATTATATATACACAACATAAAAGTATATTATATTAATGTTAGTATAATGAAAGATTAACAATGATCTTTAATTGAGCGAGTAATGATTCAATAAACATAATAATAATTTCCAGCATATATATTTTTGATAAGGCAATCAGAAGAAACAGTTTGGAAAATCAAGAGATTAAAGAAATATTTTATCTTTCATTTATATAAAGCATAGAGGTGTGGTCAAACAAACATAACCTACAACCATCAAATCAAAATGAATTACATTGATGGACAGTGATCTCAAATGTATTGTGCATTACACGTTTTAAATTTAACAATTACTAATTTGTTGATTCCTTGATTTTGCTGGGTTAATTCACAAATATTGAAATAACAATTTCGAACAATTACCAAATTGTGCACTGCAAGCATTTCTGCATATTTTTTATTTCTTCTGACAGCTTGTCAGCGATGGCCACCATTTGTTCCATCATTTTTCTGTTGTTACAAGCGTCGCATCACGAATATCTACCATAAATGAATTAAACACTTCGAAAGCGCGGGAATCACATTGTATCGCCCCGCCACACGGTTTGTCATTCTTATAAATAATTACGTTATTGTGGATATTATCAACAGGTCTTTTATTTCGGATTCGACCACGTGCTGTGGGTGGCGCTGTAATCGGTCGTTCAATGTGCACAAAATTCAAATCTTTCTCAGTACCATTGGCTAACTGAGAGTAGTCAGTTATTGGCGGTATTTCTAAGATGAATACGCATTCGGGTAAATCTGTGTTTCTTTTTTATTCGGAGATTTGCAATATATACAGTGGTAAGAATCGATATACATAATTTTTATTACTCCCTTTTATGTATCAAATTCGTCAGAATTGCTTAAGAAGTAATTAATAAACCACATGACCTAACAAATCACGAGATATGTGCAATTTCATTCAGTTTACTGCCTGAAAACAAAAAGTTTCTATCGTTTGTATATATATTTACAGTGAGATTATTAATATAGTATAGTTACAAGTATAACCTATCTTGATTATCTTCTTTGACGTATCAAATTCGTCAGAACTCTACCGCTTAAGAAATAATTAATAAGCCACGTGAATTAACAAATCACGAGATATGCGCAATTTCATTTACTTTATTGCCTGAAAATAAAAAGTTTCTATCATTTGTATATGTACAGTGAGATTACCGGTACATTTCCTGTTTATATTTTTTGACGGCAGAGTGCGTTAATGTAGTAGCGTCCAACTTTGACACTCAATAAAGGCGGGAAGCCATAGACTAAGTAAGAAGTTGTACAATTGAACGAGATTGCCGCGGGACGTAATCGAATCATTTCAAATCGTGTTTCCATTTAAATTAATTCACCCTGATTAAACGTTTTCGTGAAAATTACGCGTGGAAATTAGTCGGGATGGCAGTTTCATTCAAGCAATCGTCTCACCAGAGGTATTTCTTCTTAATTTACTTACTAGACAATTCTCGTCGAAAGTTCAGCTGAATGACATCGATTGTTGAGACGAACGATATTCACGTACTTAATATTCTCACGTATCACGATACTCGTATATCTTAATATTATCACGAGAGATGTAAGATCAATTAACAATGTTGCTGAATTTTAAAACTGCCGCTTAATGAAAAACGAAAAACGTAACCTATCATATCATATTTTTTCCCCCCCTATAGTCTACATTCGTTTGACATGCTCAAGATTGCAATTGAAATCGGATGTTCTCTTATTTTCTAGAAATCGTTGTGCAAATGATTAAGTCAGTGTCATCGAGCTCGACCAACAGACAGAAAAGACAATATTCAGCGTAACATGAGTTCCGCAGAAACGACTTGTTGATGACGTTATGGGGTGGATCTTCCTTGCCAGTACTTTACTCTTCTGCTTATGCGGTAAGTCTTGACTACACGACATGTATATATTCTACAACTTTACGATGTATTAACGTGGAACGGGAAAGCATCACGATCCACGACGCAGGTTCAATTGTGAAATTGGCGGACGATCGTTTCTGGCGCCAAATTTAAATTCGGTAACGGTGTCTTTTTGCGTTGGTAAGAATTTCTTGCAAACGACTGCTGCATTTTGTAATCTGATAACTAGTTATCACGGGAGGTCCACGACGGGCTTTCTTATGACAGAAAGTTATCGTTTTGAAAAATTTAATTAAGTCTAAAGTAGTTAGAGTTCCATTCCTCCGAGATTAATTACGTGTACTAGTCTCGCTGCGTTCACGCGATAAGGAACTTCAGAAAAGGCATTACTGCCACAGAGTGCATCGAGCGTTGAGAATTTGTTACGGACGTGAATGAAACGAGAAAATTAAAAGTCAATTAAAATTTTCAATGCTTCGAGCCTCGGTGGAATCATACCATAAATTTATGCGCTTTCAATTCGTTCTGCTCAACTTTTCACAATTACGCACAGAGATAACAGAAAGCTAGCATTGAAATGTGGAGTGATGAGATTAAATTTTCAAATAATTTTCATCCAATGTCCGGATATAAATGTATTTTACCATTGACGGCTTACAATAGTATGACAATCGAAATTATTCTGCTGTCGATTCGCAAAAATACATGACAACGTGTTCGAAATGTGGTATACGACAAAATAATTTATATTTTTGCTAGAGGAATATCAAGTCTACGCAAATCTATTTCTCTTTCAATATTTTGCGCCACTTTTGGTATGATAAAATTAATGTTTTTGTGTGACCATCAACAGGTATGCGTTAACGGTGCCGTGAAAATTTCAGTGACGAACGTGCAAACGTTCCCGGGTGAAATGAACTTCATTTCTATAACACTGCAAAATAGAATTTTTTTTCTTATCTTCTTAGCGATTCTGCATGCAAATAAACTGGCACTGAGAGACTCTAGAAACGCCCGGTAAATTTATTCGGGGATTTGTGGTTATCGTCAATGGCAAATGAGGCACAACGATCTCTTTGCGTGGAAAATTTGAGTTTCGCTCGCGAGAAACTTTTTGTTATCGAATAAATTTACCTGGCAGCGAAATCAACTGCTATCGCAGTGATTGAACGATCACCGCACGATCCCATCTAACGATAATTTTCTTCCTACCGATTTAACCCATTACGGCGTATACACCTAACGATTTTGTAAACTGTTCTCAATTTGGTCGGAAAAAATGTGTCGGATATTTTCCTACAATTCTTCAGTCAAATTCGTATATTTTAGGTATTTTAAAGAGACGAAAGGCTACGAAACTTTTCATTGGCATTTGTATGCATAGAAATCACTTATGGGAACTTTTAATTTATTTGTGATAATATTTTCGATTGGTTTTTTTTTTTTTTTACTTTTTTGTAACATATTTTATAATGATTTTCTCCTTTTAATTTTGACTAAAAAGATGTGGATAAATACTACGTGTCCCGTGTCGAAAATATTGTTCGACGTTATCACAGAATATCTTCTCAAAGTTCAGCGAGTTCTTACCACCTAATTAGTTATGCTTTACTTTGATTAATATTCTAAAGTGTCATATTGTTCCGGAAACTTATCCCAACTCTCTCCACCAGAACGATTATTGTCGACTTTATTGGTTGTTCAAATATACATACATCTACTAAGAGCTGGAGTAACTTCTCAACTTAACCCTTTACTTGATGACTCCTTAAACTACTTAAACAATCTGTTCCTGTAATACATTTCCAAGTATCTTACAAATTTCATCAGTTTAATGGATAGTAATTAGCTATAAATATGCAAATTTTCGCATCGTGTGTTTCTCATTTATTTACCACCGTAGCACAGAAACGAAATCATTTAAATAATTTACTTGCTACAATGAACTCTCGAATAACATCGAACCGGCAATTTAACCGGTTACGCCATTAAAATTTGGAGTGTTTCACTACATTTTCATGAATTTTCATTCGTAACGGAGTCGAATCCGAAATTGGTGGAAGTTCGCAACAATGAACTTAATGGAACTTGCTCCCAAATATTTACATACGTAGCCAGCAGCCAACCGAAATCAAAATACCTCAAAATCGTCAGACGTATACGCTCTCGCAACAGCCCCCCCCCCCCTCTTCGACACCGGTGTAACAACCTCCCCCCTCCCTCCCTCCCGCCCCCTTAAAAAAAAAAGAAAAAAAAAGATACCTGCAAACAGCCAAATCTGCACAATGATAATTTGATGGGCGTATGTTGGTTTTTCACGCTGCCTTGGATGAAAAATAAAAGCGGCGGGATTGCCGTTGCCACAAGGAGGTGGCGGGGCGGGGGGCCATGGACAGCCGCAGGCTGGATCGCCGAGCACCCCGGGCCCCGGCGGTGGCACAGCTGGCAGTGGCGCGAGCAGCACTCTTGGCGCCGCTGGCGGCGGTGCCTCTGGCTCTGGCACTGGCGCCGTCGGTGGAACCGGCGGTGGGGCCGGCGGCGGTGCCGCCGGCGGCGGCCCAGTTTGGTCTACGGGCCCGGCTCGTCGGGGCCGAGGGTGGCGCGACTGGCGCCGCGGCGACCCCACGCTGATCAAGGGACTCTGGCAGTCGAGGGGACCGCTAGGTAACGAAACTCCATCATTTTTCAGTTTCAATTCGTTTTGTTGCATGCTGCGTCGCACTTTGCCTGTAACGTTGACTAGCTGCTAAAACTATCCTTTCCTGTTGTCAGTGAGGTTTTCATTTTGAACGATTTTCAGTTTTGCTTCTCTCTGGTCTTTGATTATCCGTCTACGTTGTCTCGAATGTTGACACGTTTTACGTTCTATTGTTAAAAGTGTCCAATGGAGGATCTTTAAATATACGTGGTATTTTACACGTGAATAATTTATTTCTATTAATTTTGGTTTTGTGTTTTCACATTGGCTGGTAGAGTTGCAAATATATTAGTATTTCACACGTGAATAATTTGTTTCTATTAATTTGGTGTGTTTTTACATTGATTGGTAGAGTTGCAAATATATTAGTATTTCACACGTGAATAATTTGTTTCTATTAATTTGGTGTGTTTTTACATTGATTGGTAGAGTTGCAAATATATTAGTATTTCACACGTGAATAATTTGTTTCTATTAATTTGGTGTGTTTTTACATTGATTGGTAGAGTTGCAAATATATTAGTATTTCACACGTGAATAATTTGTTTCTATTAATTTGGTGTGTTTTTACATTGATTGGTAGAGTTGCAAATATATTAGTATTTCACATGTGAATAATTTGTTTCTATTAATTTGTTTGTACATTGATTGGTAGAGTTGCATCACTTAAAAGGTTTGATTGTTTGTTGCGTGACTTTGTGCAACGTTGAGTAGCTACTAAAAGTATCCTTTCTCATCCTTGTCAGTGGGTTTTTCTTTTTTGTCGTTTGAACGATTTTCTTTGTTGCTTCTCTTTGGTCTTTGAATATTCTTTCGTTTCACGTTGCTATACGTTGTTGTGCGATGTCGTCTCGAATTTGACACGTTTACTGTGTTTCTATTGTTAAAAATGAAAGGTCTTTAAATATATGTTAGTATTTCACATGTGAGTAATTTGTTTCTGTTAATTTGGTATGTTTTATCATTAGTTAGTAAAGATTAGCATCATTTAAGTCACATGTATTCTATACAATTATATGTTTGCTGTATGATATTTTGATTTCTTTCCTAATCACGAATGTTTCATTCCAATAGAAGAATAATTTAGCTCGATGAATCTCGTTACGTAGAAGCACGAGGGTTTATTTCGTTACACTGATGCATGTAGTATTGCATAATTTGTTATTACATCGAAGCACGTGCATTGAAACTTGATGTTCATATCCCTGAGAGAAAATAATTTTCCGAAATCCATACACCTTACCACGAAATCCATGTATGTTCATTAAACAGCCAATTATTCTCCATAAATTTGTGCCGAACGCTTTATTGAAGTCGATAGGTCGATAGGTCAAATATCGCGTGTAACTTTCACGCTGTTCACGTCAGCCTCGTAGTTCATCAACATGAGCGGTTTCTCGTCGCTTTACCATGAAAACTTATCGAGTTTGTAACCTGACTTCCGAATTAGCTGTTCACGTTCGTGAGATGAAATGTCGCATACTTGGAGCCTACCTATAATTTTACAAGCTGCAGAGAATGAAAACTAATTTCAATCGTGTTCATTCGGACTAATGCATTGGCTGAATTACTTGAATAGACAACTCACAGTAAGCTACATTAATTTTATATAAATTTTTATGAATATAAACTTTAATTTTATATAAATTTTTGTGAATATACTGTAGAGTAAAGGTTGATGATTATTAAATTACTATAACGTAATACGGAATAAAGAACTGCAGAATTAGAAAAATAACTACAGAAATTTGTTTCATCTAAATAATATCACAACGAGTGCTCTCCTTCCGATATCTGACATACTTTTTCATATTATATATGCACTTTGTAAATTTCACCTTAAACTTCTCAAAGACGCATCAACATCTGCACTCTATCCTTAATTACGCTCACCAAGTTTGAAACTAATCTGAAAATTTGTAACGCATATTATTCACGATGTTCTACTTTATATGTCGTTTTCAATTTCACTTCGATAAAAATTGAGACCAGGGTTAAGAGGATTACTCAAAGTCTTGAATCTCTGTCGACTTTGCCATATGTCGATGATGGTACAGCGAGGGGCGTGAAAAATTCATGAAACGAATGAACAGTACTCGTGTTTTCGCTCGCGAAGCCTAGATTCTGATTTAACTTTCAGATTGCCGCGTGAATCGCGAGTTACATAGACGAATACGAATATTTCAAAGTTAAAATTTTCAAATTCGAAGTTTCCTCGCGATAGAAGCACGAAAGTACAGCGATTAGAGCCAATAGAATCCAAGAAATAGTGAATTTAGCTTCCACATCTTGTTCTAAATTTAAACTTGTTTTAAACTACGTCTTTAGAACTCTTTTTCATTTATTTATTAGATTCTTTCGTAGTTTTGCCTACGTCCTTTTACACAAAATTTCGGTGACTTGATAACTGCAACGGAATTCACGAAATGGCCTAACAATCTCAGAAAAAATCTAGATTTATAGGTTACCATTCTTTGAAATGGACATTTAATGACTTAGTCTCTGTTTTTCTGGTTTCGTTTTATCGATGGATTTTTTTTATCCATTTCTTGCAGTCGCGTTAAAATATAGCTCAATTCAGATGAAAAAAGTATTATTGACGTTCAAAGGCCGTGTATATAATATTTTGTCCCCGCTGTATGTCAAATTGTTTTAGCGACTGTTTCTCGAGTAGAGACAAGGATGTAAAGATGGTTTATTTGCGCGCGTTTCATGACATAGGAAACCGCTTTTTTTTATAGCCAGCTATTATTCCGACGTAAAATTTGTTTCTTAATTTCTCGTCGTTTATGTACATACGCTTTCGTTTCATTCTCGCTCGCGATGAAAACGAGCACGATGGACGGATAAATGAAAATTTCGTTACGAATTTCATTAGAATTGAGAAACTGCAGTTTCAAGCTTTTCATTCTCTACGTACACGCAATAACCAATAATTAAAAAGGAGGAAAGAAATTGAAACCTGAATCGTATGAAAAATAATCTCACAATTCAACAAACAACACAGAGAACAGACTGAAAGTTCCACCTTCAACTCCATTACGTAAATTTTCGACTTCCATCCGGCTCGTTCGGGTTCACGTAAAATTGGCTTTCGCCAATAAAGGCGAGGAGTATCGTCGATAAATCACCGGTGGAAGCTTTAAATGATCATTCAAAACCTCGGCCATAATTCATCCCTGTCACATCACGGCATTTTTCATCGCAACAACACCTTGCACGTCGATCGTTCTCCCCTTCACAAAGAGTCTGGCATGCTGTGCACGCTTTCTCATCCGCATTTAGTGTTTCTATCTGAGAGAGAGAGAGAGAGAGAGAGAGAGAGAGAGAGAGAGAAAAGAAAGGAAAACCGACCGAGAAGACGTGAAACGAAAACTGGCTGTCCCTGGGTGCAGATTCTTTAGGAAAGGCGGAGGTGTACATCTTCTTAGCGCTGCTGATCGGTTTCGTGACGGTGGTGGTGGGCTGTTGGCTGTCGGACAACTGTTGGTCCCCGGAGCCGGAAGGAGTGGTCACCCTGGCATAGCCTAGTGCAGACTTCCGTTCGTCCAGGCGATAACAACTAGTACGCGGGCCCACCTACAGGATTTTCCAGAACTCGGTTCAGCAGAATCGACGACCGTTGCTGGACATCAACGACAACCACACGATGCTTCCACCCGTGTGAACGACGCCGCCTTATGCATAGAAGGGAAAAGAAAAAAAAGAAAGAGAGAGAAGAAAGGAAGGAGACACCTTTTGCCATTAGACTATGGTTCGCCGCCATTACGTGCGCCGTGCGGCCGATCGAATATCGCCCGGTCCCATAATATCGTATAATGTCGCGGTTTCGCCACCGACGAAGGTACTCGACCGTAAATCCAAACGTTCATCGAAATATCGACATGCACCGCGGAGGTTGAACCGGGGCTGTGCCGTGAACCTAAAAACGGATTACCGATTGCGCCGACGTCTTTTTTTTTCCTTTTTCTTTCCTTTCTTCTTTTTCTCTAATTCGCTGTCGTTTCGTCGTGAGTTTTCTCTCTCGACAGAGAAACGTCGATGGTTCGTCGCGGCGGAATGATTCCATTCGGTAATTATTCGGAGTTGCAAAAATTGATAGTTGCCAAACTAACTGATCGTCGAGCGATTCTTTTCCTACGAATTTTGAGACAAACACTTGCGGAGAACCTCGGTTGAATTTGAGGAATGAGAGTGTATTGCGTTGCGACGTAGGATATTTTTATACAGTCTAAAATTAGTCTTTGATACGGCGATTGCCACGTTACTGGTTCTGAGAACAAGCTTTCGCGCACGTATTTCAAAAGTGGCGCAACTGAAGCGAATCGTCCAGGAAACGTGAAAAAAAAAAAAAATTATTCGGAAGTATCGTTGTTAGACGCACGATGCTTTTTCCTTTTTTCCTTTAGTAAGAACAAGCTCTAGGTGGGGGAAAAAATCGCCCTTTCAGACCTGGCCCTGATAATTTCAACGTTCTATTTTCACTTGTGACACTTTCCAAATACATGCTCGATATCGAATTGCTCCACTTTGTTCTAATCTTAGTTACGCTCAATTAAAACCACTTAAAACTACAAGTGGAAGGATCATCTTGAAATGATCTTGGCAACATCTCGTTTCAACGTCGTCGAAACGAGACCAGGCGGTGTCGTATATTCTGAATAATTATCGAAAGTTTTATAAGACGAAAGGTGGAGAACCGGAGGTGGCAATTAGCGAAATTGGAGAGCAGGCGGCGGGGAACTACGGCCGAATTTGGTGAACGCGCACGCTCATCAGTGAGCTATAATTCGCTCGTTAACGCGATCCACGCTCGATTGTCGTCGAGTAGGGACGCGGCAATATTCGGGCGTAGTTCCATCGTGAGTTCGAGCTTCCGGTTGGAGGGATTCTCGCGGATTAGCTGGCTAATTCGCGGGCTTGTTCAATGGTCGGTCGAGATGTATAGATGGTGGTGAGAATTTGCAATAGAGATTCCCGAAAGAGGAATTGATTATGCTTAATTTCAGGGATGGCAAAGGGTTTCCTGTGCACGGTGGTTCAACGTGCACGCTTTTTATGGGTATGGTAAGATTTATGCGGTTGCCGTTACGCGATTTCAAGGGATTTGTTGCGCAAAGGAAGGGAGGCTTTCGGTCGATTCATTTTCTCTCTTCAGAACGACGATCGTGCGTTGAAATGTGGAGTGTCAGATAGGGTGGCCCCGAAGAACATCGAGGAATCACAGTCACAACGATTCAACGATCGAATCGAACGTGTCTGGATTCTTATATATTAGGATACTCGTACGCGCCATTTGGATAGATAATAATCGTTCGAATAGTACAAATACTCAGGATGAAATCTAATCTTAATTAGAATTTTCGTTGCGATTTGTAAAATTAAGAATCGCCGAGTATGTATGTTGAAAAAAATGCATTCGCTGCAACTGCAGACACGATTTGTCCCACCCCCAAGAATGAACGCAACATTCTTTCTCTCTTTATTAAATTAAAAACCATCGTTACTAGCGACGAAGCTGTGTTGAACTACGAGACAACGTAGAAACGAACAAAACATAAAAAAAAAAGAAAACAAAAGAGCAGAACAGAACATTTCCATTTACATACAAAGAGAGAACTTTCATTTACACGTGCGAAAACTCTTCATCGATTCTCCATTACTCAGCTTCAGCCGCTACGGGATCGATCGGCCAGAATCTTATCATACCCATAACGTCATTGCCATTAATCAGCTTATACCAATCACTACGACGCGTATACACGTTGTCGCGGCATACAGCGCAATTCAAACGACGAGACAAATAAATCGAGACAAATAAATCGAGGAACGTTCTCCCCCTCCTCCCGCGAGTTGGCGGGCTGATTCGCGTGGATTTAGCGACGCGTCGACGGGACGAGCGATCGTTGACGGCGCGGGTGATCGCTTTGAGGCTCGATAGTTAGTTAAATTCCCGTAAACGGGTCGATAATTTCGTTTGAAGCCCGGCTGATGGGCCTCGACGTCAGGCTAGACGTCCATCCGAGACAGAATCGTGCAACAAGCGGGAGAACAAACCGGTTCGAGCACGGCACGCTTCTTGCAATTAGTCTCAATCGACCGTCCGTGTAAATTTGCGGGGGGGGGGGGGTGAGCTTAATGGCGGCGAGATGAGACACGCGATACGATGCTTTACGGGAACTTTATTTGTACTGCAGATTCGTCGCAAGCTGCACGAAAACCGGCGAACGATCGAACCTCGGTCAGAAGTGCATCACGCGGCGAGAGCTTTCCCATTCTGTCTCGGCGGGTCGCGCGAGCGCTCGGACGTTTACTCGAGCAGGGCGATCAAGTTGCAATTTGAAATTTTCGAGGTGCGCGGATATTTATGGAAGCTCGCGTTCTCGTTCGAAAACCGTGGAATTTGGGGAGAGTGTTTCGTCCATTTCGTAGTGAATATTTCATACGTTTTCATATACACGTAGGCACGTTCTTTTCATACTTCAAATTTGTAGTCCGGTGGCAAGTCTTCGGTTGAATTTCATATTCTTTGCAAAAGATATGAAAAGTATCAGCCAATGGATATCAATGCAGAAGACACTCTACCTTGAATATTTTCGCAGGTTTCTCACATTTTCGAGTTTTCTGTAATTGGACAAACGTCCGCAGCCATTGATCGTTCAATTGGACGTTAATGATATCTGATCGTTTGTTTGGAAATAAGCTTGCGCGCTGGTATCAATGTCTGGCAATTTTGGGACACTGTTTACTCGGCAAATTGAAGTACTAACTTCGAGTTAACCGATCGATGCTCTCTAGCCATTTCATGGTTACGAGAGACTGTGTTCAACGTTGATGTTGATTTCTAATTATATCCGTATCATCCAATCATTTAGAAATATATGTTACGTTAATATTAATATTTTAAAAATAACAAGGATATCTAATTACGTGGAAATATGAAAATGCAGGAGGAGAAGTTTCGTCAAGAATGTAATATTTTCAAAAGTAAAATGAAAATGTATGATGGAGTATTGGTATAATTAATTTGGAGAAAATAATTCTCAAGGGAAATGTGTAATCTAGATTATTGAAGTTAATTTGATCTAAAGGCGGGAGAAACAAAATTTTCGTGTAACGTTTTGATTGTGTTATCGATTTTGAAATGTTCGTCATAATTCTTCGTTGTAAACGCTCGAGCACTTCCGCGATCTCGCATAGTCGTTTACTGTAACACAAACTTTAATAACGAATTGTCACACATTTCGTAAATATAACGAGAGAGACCAAGTTTGTATCCACATAAATTCTGTGTGTGTAACACAGTTGAATAATATTTCATTATGAAAACGTTTTATTATTACCTTTTCAGTCACGGTCAACAAAGCTGCTTCGAGAAGCTAGACTTAAAATTGAAATTAATTGAAAATATTAATTGAAATATTAATTGAAATTATGGAATATTAATTGAAAAATCTTTCAAGCTATTTTGCAAACTTTTCATTACGTTCGTTTTGTTAATCTTCTGGACAAATGATTGCAAGAAGTTACTGTCCATAAATAATCCGCCATGTTTCCTATAATCATTCTGATCACATACATTCATCATACGTTTATACACTTTGTTCGTTTCCTACAAAATCCATATCATCGAGAATCACTAAATAAATGAAAATATTCCACCAAATTCACGTACAATTGATCATCATTTTGATCGTTGAAATACTTTCGCTGCCACCACAAAGTCTACAATTTCAAATCCAATCATCTCCTGGAACATTTTCTTAAAGCGAAACGATCATCACGCTTCCCATTATTAATTTCAGTTATTGAAACATCACTTGCAAACGTAAATCACAAATCTAAACAGCCGTTATATTTTTTTCATTGTTAATCCATCGTTAATTCAGTTTGATTAATTTCTAAACTGAAGCGCTATTTTTCACCACCCGTTTCGAATAACCTCCGAAAACTGTACGTTCGAAATTTTGTGTCGCAAAAAATTGAGAACGAAAAGTCCAACTATTTCATAAAAAAA